TTTCTGTGCATTTTGCCATATTTGTGAAAGACCATTTTAAACATGTCCAGATTACAAGCCTTCAGAAGCTCTGACAGGGGGGTTGGACTCGATGATCTCTGGAAGTCCCTTCCAACCCCTACAATTCTGTGATCCTGTGAAAACAGCACGCTCAGTTTTAGAGCGGCTCAGCTAATTCCCCTCTATGAGACAAAGTGGCAATTCTCAACAGAAAATGAACTCAAGGTGCCTTAACAAGCACATACCAGACTTCCCAGCAGAGTGCCAAGCCCTGCTCTGCTGCTAGGTGGTACTTCTCAGGGCCACCAGTTTTACTGCCAAAGACACGCATGACAAAGTTTAAACCATCAGAAAGATGGGTATGTCACTGCTTCCTTCCCTTCTCACCTTAAAATTAGGGAAGGAAAAAAAAATACACGTGCAAAACACATCAGTTAATACCTGTCACCAGAAATGCTTTCAGTTTAGCAGCAATGGATCCAGCCCTTCTGCTAGAAATCTCCTGGCATAATCTTTAATCACACAATAAGAAATACTGCCTTGTTCAGTGCCCCAGGGAACCAGAAAGGGCTGCATGATTCCTGGGTGCCAATGGTGCCAATTTAAACTAAGGAGCTACTGCTTAAAGCAAATATTCCCCTCCTGAAAAACTGGAAAAATTCTATTGCTGTAAGCATCTAAACCTGAAGCTCAGGCCGGGTTTTTCAAAGAAATCACTCCCAGAATTCAGTGTGCTTACCTTGGTCCGTGTTTAAATCATGCATTTTCAACTGCTGATCTAATCCTCCACTCCAGGCATGGGTAGGGTCCTATAAATGCAAAAAGATCCACTCATGACATGCATAGATGTACAGCAGGCAGGGAAACTTCAGTCTCCCAGGCACAGAAAGAGACCTAATTTTAAGAGATTGGGGAAAACTGGAAACCGCATGAGAATCTGTGTTTTAAACCACAGTCTGAACTGCAGGTGGAAAAAGCACAATTAAAGATTTAATTGATCCTTAAAGCATTCATTTGGTAACGTATCAAGTTCAGACACTGGAGGACATGTCAAAATGCAGTGCAAAAAAAAAAACCTACCAATTACTTGCAACACTGTATTTCATATATCATGTATGATAGGCAAAATAATAAGAAAAATAAAAGCCAGTTAAAAAAATCTTTCAGAATATTTCAATGGTTCATGTGGAGCAACGCTGTCTTTCTAAAACAACCCAGTAAAAGAAGGCTAAAAAAAACAATAATTGGATGTGGGTATCCATTGTGAATGATTGTGGGTATTCATTGTGAAAGAAACATGCAAAGAATTGACCACTGGAAAAAAAAACAACTGTATAAACCAGCTGAATTTATTCTTGTCTGCCACTTCTGCCAGAAGTAAGCTATGTGTGTGCCTGCATCCTTCACAAAAAACATGGATTTAGGACAAGAAAGAGGCTCGTGGGAAGAACAATAAGCACAAGTACAATGCTCTTGGACACCTGCATTTCAGGTAAGAACTATCCTTTTAATTTCAATTTCTCACGTACTTTGTGCACCGTAAGCCCATGAAATACAATTGAAAAACAAACCTCACACACACTTACATAAAAAGCACAGTCAAGGACAGCTCCTGAATGCTGATATTTGAGTCTCATGCTGTTGGCAGGAACATCATAGAGACGGACAGTGGTGTCCCAGGATGAAACAAGCAGAAACTGAGATGTGTTTGGACTGAACTTCACCGATGAAATCCCATCATCTGGAGTTTGATTGAGTTTGAACTCGTTTGATCCTGTCATCTGACAACAGAGCACAGATGTCATTTTAGTCACAACAGGAAAATAAACCCAGCGAGTTGGCTGGCTAACTGACACACCTTAAGGTTCATTTAAAGAAAACCCAGAAAGCTTGCTAACCCTCACACAGAGCTGGAACGCAGAACTGACAAACACACTGAAGTTGCTTCTCGCAGCCCAAGACCTTAAACTCCTTCCCACATAGAGAATTTTTAATTTAAATACCAAACACAGCAATACAGCATGGAATAATTATCATAAACTTTTTGTTCTGTTTACCTCTAAGCTTAGATAAACAATATTGTTATGCACTTTCCCCTCATTACGCTGCCTATATGGTTATATTTCTAGGATTACTTATAAGTTACTCTGAGGCTGAAGATTTTACTTTAAAAAATGGGGGCAGAAAGAAATCCAAGGAAAAACTCCAGCAAAAAGCATTCCTGATTCAGTGCAACTGTGCTGGACTTCCAAGAACTACAACTGCATGACTACTCCAACAGTTACCAGCACTAGTTGGTATACATAAAAAAATAAGTAAAAGAGAGCTGAGGCTACAGGCAAATTTCAGCTGGAAAGACAGTTAAGAGCTTACAAACGCTCTGGATGAAGAAGCTGTTCATTATAAGTACAGCAAAATGCCCCCAAAATCTTTTAAAATGCTTTCTAAGCATTAACAGCACATTTCTTTTTTGAGGAAAAGGCTTAGTAAGTGTATTAGCTGTGACTTTTTGTAATGTTATCACATCTGAACTTGTGTATAAACTCAAAGGAGAGATTAGACCTTTGGGAGCAAAATCCAAGACAGAACGAGAAGGTGAAACGTGACAAGAATCAGCTGCTCTGCACAACGATTCCAGAGCTGTGTTTGTCAGTAACAGAACCATCACCAAGCTGTAGAACAATGTAAGCACTGCACATTCTTACACTGGAAAAAAAAGTCTGAAGTGGAAGCTCTTGGAAGGATGCCTTTACATAAAACACCCACCAAAACAAAAAGTGTACCATTACAAATGGTACTCAAAATGGAAATGAAAATATCATCACTTTTAAGAATAGGAAATAGAAATTACACTCTAAACCCCTTTTTCCTTGCCCAGAAGATGGATGTGCTTGAGAATCCATCACACACACAACACAGCACTTGTAACAAAGGATTCTGCAGCAGGTTCGTTACACCTTAAACAGTGAAATGTACCTCAGTGAGGATTTCAGATGGACGTGCAAAGACAACAAAAGCAAGGAATGGAGAACCAGGAGGATCTAAGCAGACACACTAAGAGCAACAGCCACTTATGGCAGAAACTCAGCAGGCACTTATTGTAGGCAAATGAGACAAGAGCTACAAACCACCCCAAAACAACCAGCAAGCAGAGCTCCAGGAAGAGCAGAGACTTGGAAGGAACTCCTAAAGTTTTTGAACCCAGAAACAAGTATATATACATACACATGCACGTGGGTGCATGTGTATCTCCTATGTAGGTTAACAGATATATATATATATATATATTAAAAAAAAAAAAAGGGACTCTGCACATTTACAGAAATAAAGCTAGACTGCCAGAGAACTGCTGTGGTCACCACAGAGCCCTGACACAGCAATGGAGCACCACAGGCAGTTGGAGAAGATATTCCAACAAAGGCAGAACCACGACACCAACTTCAGCACGGGGTTCCTCTGCAATTCTGCCACCCCGAGAGCTGCCTGTACAACGCAGACACGAAACCAGCGCTTTTGCAGCCCCCAGGATCCCAGCACACAGCACTACCGTTTTCATAGTACACGGCTTCTTCCCTCTCTCGAGGCCACACCACGGAGAATTGTTCTTCACAGATGAAGGCAGCCTGCGGATAGTCCTGTGTGGGCGGGAAGCACAGCGTGAGGGCCAGGCCCGTAAGCGGCGGTAGATGCGAGGCCGCTCGCAGGCCGCAGCCGTCCCTCAGCGCGGCCCCGAGCCGGGAGCGAGCCCAGAGCCTCCACCGCTATCCCCAACCCTTCCCCCAGCCCTCAAACCCGCTTCCGACCCGACCCGACCCGACCCGACCCGACCCGACCCGAACCGAACCGACCTCACCCCACAGCCCGGCTCGGCCTCACCTCACCGCCTCACAGCGCCTAACGGCCGTCCGCTCCACGCATGCGTAGTGCGCGCAGCCTCGCCCGCCGCTTGGCCCCGCTCTCCCATTGGTCAGTTCAAAGCGGCGTGGCGGCGCGATGCATGCTGGGAGCTGTAGTCGGCCCGCAACGCTGCGCGGCTGCCGGCGGCTGCGGAGCGGGCGGGGATCGGCCCCGAATGTCCATCGATGGAATGGAAGTCGGAGACGAAGGGACGGAGCCGTGAGGGTGGGAGCTGAGCACGGGCTGCCGTCAGCAAAACGCTTACGGCGTCTGTAAATACACATGGTGTTTCCAAATATTTCCGACATTTACCAATATTTACCGGTATTCACGATATTTCCCGATATTTCCAACACCCACAATCCGTTATCAACAGAAATGTCCGACACCTGAAATATTTCCAAATGTAGCCAACAGTTCCAAACGTTTCCAATTATTTCCACTATTTCCAGCAATTCTCACATCATTCACGGCATTTCCTGCCCAAGCTGGGATTGCCATGCACCCCTTCCATAGGGCAGCACTCGTTCCTCATCCATTCCCAACACGCTGCCTCTCCCTTCATCTTATTTAATCCTTTCTGCATCTTTTAATCGTTTTTTTTTCCCTTTTTCCCGTGCTCGCACCCCCCCTCCCCCCTCTCCCATGCCCATCCCACAGCACGAAACCCATCCTGCACCCACTTCCCAGCCATGCAAACACGCGGTGGTGGTGGCAGATTTACAAACGACGCTTAAAACGTTTTATTTCCTTTAAAAATATGTACAGATCTGAAATAGTGCTTTTTTTTTTTTTTCCTTTTTTTTTTTTTTTTTTTTTTTTAATTAATTTTCCTTTCAAGTGGCAGGATAACGCTGGGCGGGGGGAAGGGGAGCCCCGACCTCACCCCTCCCACCCCCATCAGTTCCAAACCTTTCCGGACTGCCCCTGGAAGCGGCCCCGAACCCGAGTCGGAGCCGAATCCCCGGACCCGATGCCTCGGAGCCGGAGCAGAACCCCCAGAACCGAATCCCGAAGTCCCGGGCCCGAAGCCCCGCAGGCGGTCCCGGAGCCGAAGCCCGGAGGCGCGGCCGCTCCCAGCCCCGACGGGGCGGGCGGGGCTCTCAGTATTCGATCTTATTGTAGAGATTGTAGAGCGGTAAGGCCGAGAGGTTGCTGCCGGGGTAGTAGAGAGGAGCGGGGAAGGCGATGGAACGCGGCACCGGCACCCGCAGGAGGGAATTGTCTCTGAACACCAGCGGCATCCCCACCAGAGTCTGAGCTGAAGCGTGGGCCATGTTGGCAGCCTCCAGCTCTGCCGAGAGCTGTCGCTTCCACTTGTTGCGGCGGTTCTGAAACCACGTCTTCACCTGGGTCTCGGTGAGCTGCAGGCTGGAGGCCAGGCAGGCCCGCTCTGAACTGCTCAGGTATCGCTTCATGTCGAAGGTGGATTCCAGCTGGTACACCTGGCTGCGGCTGAACACCGTGCGTGTCTTCTTTTTGGCGGCCCCGGCCTGCCGGTCCCCGCCGTCGCGTTGCCTGTCCCCGTAAGAGGGAGAGGAGGATCCCAGCGGCTTCTCCTTGTCCTCCTTAAAGTCCTGCGGGGAGGCCGAGAGGAAGGGGGGCCGTTCCGCTCCGCCCGCAGCCGCTCCGCTGCCCTTGGTGCTGCCTGCAACACAGCCACAGCGCGGGTCGCACCGGCAGCCACCGACGGCGCGGCCCCGACGGCTCCGGGGAGACGGGAGAGGAGGAAAAGCGGCAGGAAACGGCAGCGAGGGTGGGAGAAACTTCTGATATGAGCGGTTGAGCATCAGGGGTTGGTGTGTGATGGAGAGAGGGCTGGATGGTCGAGTGGATAGATGGAGGGATGGACAGGTGGATGGAGGGGTGGAAAAATGGATGGACAAGGTGAATGGATAGATGGATGTGCAGGAGGACAAATGAATGGACGAAATGGATAGCACCCGAAGAACAGCATGAAGCTTCGTTGGGAAATGCCAGGTTGGCTTTTAGGGAAAAGGTTTTGCCCCAGAGTGTGATGGGCACGGAACAACCCCCTACGGCTCCTACAGCCCCGAGAGTGGTGAGACACCCCTCTCAGACACAGGAATTGAGTTTTGGGGAGTCCTGCTTGGAGCCGGGGGTTGGATACCATGATCTTTAAGGGTCCTTCCCTTAAAGCTCGGGATATTCCCCGATTCTGTGATTTCACGATGATTCTGTGATATGTCACAGCGAAGGCACCTGAGCACCTGAGCTCAATGCTGCTTTCCTGCCCGACACGAGCCGGCGCATTTTGCTTTACAACACCGCATTTCACACACTGTTTCATCAGAACTAATGCTAAAAATAAACATCTTTCTCTCCCTCAGCCGAGCGTTGTAAAGAAGCAGGAGATAAGGGAAAGTTCGTTATCACTCCAAACTCGCCCCTTCGCCAGGGCGAGAACGAACCCTGCTGAGGTGGGAAAAGGAAAGAAAAACCAAAGCCGCCCCGTTTTTCCAGCAGATCCATCCCCCCTCCAGCCATGGCCGGCTCACACCCGGCAGCCCCGAGGCGCGGCCGCGCCGTCGCGCAGCGCTACTCACCGAGACGGGCGAAGCCGAGGGGCTGCTGCTTACGGCACGGCTCGGCGGGGCCGTGGGCTTCGGGGCAGAAGCAGCCGCGGTGTTTCCAGCTCTCGTTCGGTTCCTCTTCGTCCGAGGAAAGGGAGAGGTTCCGACCTCGCGGGGGCCACGGGGCCGCCTTAGGGCCCGCTTCTCGGGGGCCGTCGGCGCTGCCGCTGCCCAGGATGGACTGAATGGTGAAGGTGGAGCCGGGAACAGCGGGCGGGCAGCACTTGCTCTGCTCTTCCTTGCTGCTCATCCTGGGTTCATAAGAAAGCAGAGGGGGAAAGCTCTCGCTTTAGAGGAGCCGAGGGGTGCGGGGACGGGGGGGAGGGGAGCAGGACTGCCGGGGGGTTTGTTTTGGGGGTGCTTTCGGCGTGCCGCTGCCGGTTCTCCCCGCGCCTGCCCAGGCGGACTGCATGCTCCTTCCCTCGCGTCCCTATTGATCTGCGGGCGGCGGGCGGCGGGGCTTCATTTGCATGGAGGTGGCCTTCGCCGCGCCAATCACGGCGGCGGCGGTGGAAAGTTTGGGCAGCGGCGGGGTCCGGGGATTGGGAGGGTGTTGGGGGGGTCCCGGGAGGCGGCGGGGCCGGGGGTATCCCGAGGGCTGTGGGGCTGCCCCGACCCCACGGCTGCGCTGCCTCCGCCTCGGGGGGCGGTGTGGACGTGGGGTCGGGATGGACGGGAGGTGCTGGGGGAACGCGTCTTGGTGAGGGG